GAGAAAATTTCCTATTTTCGATGTCTACATAACCTTTTTGTGAAATCAATAGTTTAAGCGTAGGAGCGCCAACAAGCCCTACCACCAACAAACCCGAACAGAAGAAACTGCTCCCACTGGGAAACGAACCCTGGACCTGTCTGTGTCTAAAGGCTTACCACTAGGCCACAGAGGCGGTAAAAGTAGTTCAAAGTATTTGAAATTAGTAGTATTTTTCTAATATGGCGGCGCGAGCGGCAACTATACTAGGTCGCAAGTGAAATTCAGTCATTATAGTACATCGAAATCTATATAAATACCAATTTCATTACTCCCGGAAAACTTTCCAGGTAAAACTACCAAATGACTGGACTATTATACGAGGGGATTCTGGAGGAAACTCAAAAAGTAATGAGAATGGTATATTTCCAGCCATCACAAAAATCTTAAAAAAATGGGTAGGTAGCTTAATTCTTCACTAGAAACTGGCAAAAAATCATTTAAGTTCACCTTTGCGTTTAAAAATTACAATCGCCTGCACGCGACCAGTCGGAAAGACCTTGTTTACTGTGTGTGTTTTCTGTGGTACCTACCTACCCAATTTTTTTCAGTTTTTTGTGATGGCTAGAAATAACCCATTCTCATTACTTTTTGGACAGCCCTAAGTAGATGCAGTATTTGCAGTCTGCAGCAACGTAAGTGTAGGCTGACGGTGGCGTAGGCGCCAGCTTTCTCCGCGCTTGCTTACTAAGATGGCCATCGCCGGCAAATTTGCTGCAGGTGTCTTCACTTTTTTTTTTACCTGATGGTAAGTGATGATCAGACCGAAGGTGGAAGCGAACTTCTCCCGGAATCCTCAACCACAGAACTGGCTATCTTACCTCTAACTGCCGGAACACAACAATGCTGTTAACGTTGTTATGGCGACAGACTTAAGTAAGATGGTGGTAGCTAACCAGGCGGACTTAGAACAATCCCTACCACCAACCAAACCGAACAGAAAAATCTGCTCCCACTGGGAATCGAACCCGGGACCTCTGCGTCTGAAGCAGGTGGTCTTACCACTAGACCACAGGCGGTTGGCTTCTACAGCAGCCCTGGAGCATGGCAGGTGTAGTTAAGACTAAACGATGGGAATAGTCTCTTCACCACTGTAGGTAGGCAGGTTGCTACTGTAGCACTGTGCTGATTGAAGACCTGCTGCTGGTAGGGTTTACAGCAGTGGTTCCCAAACTTATTTAGTCTACTGCGCACTTTGAGAATAAATTATTTTTTAGCGCCCCCCATTTTGTAGTCAAGAGTCGAACTCAGTCGATGTCTAAGAGTCTTCCTAGTAGATGACGCCTCCCAAGCCTCTACACAACGTCCCGATTTTCTTTCTGGGTCTCTTACCGCCCCCCTTTAAGCCTGCAGCGCCCACAAGGGGGCGTTATCGCCCACTTTGGGAAAGACTGGTTTACAGCTTCACTGAAGCATTGTAGGTTCAATCTCTGCACCAACGTAGGTGTAAGGCCTTCTCCTCTGCGCTTGCTTTCTATGACGGCTAATGCAGTGCTGTGTTGCCAACAAATCTGCTGCAGGTATAGTCTTCATTTCTATAGCACCACTGGAGCAGCACGTCTTCAGTGAAAATTTAGGCATAGCAATAGCGCACACTTTACAAATACCTTCTGTAGGAAATCAGCCGGTTATGTGGCTCTACCTAGCGTGAGTAAGTGACGAGACGACACTATTCTCCGTCAGTTGCCAAGTGTACCAAACTATCCTTCTTTCCACTGTAAGACCGCTTTACGCAAATTCTGCATTAATGATTCCTATGGTGCGTCTACACTGGGCGAACGTGCTCGCGCGGCAAACTCGACATCCTGCTCACTCGAGAGCAGGGTGAGCAGGATATCATGTTTGCCGCGCGAGCCCGTTCGCCCAGTGTGGACGCACCACTAGGGTAGCCCTTTACCAAGACATAAACAAAATTTTGAACTCTAGCACAGTGTACAGAACAGTCATTTCCAAATACTTTAAATTCCAGGCGCAGAGAGATTACTTCGGCGCGCACACTTACGAACTGGTGACCAAGCCAGGCACCTTCGTCCACACCAACTGGACCGGCCATGGCGGGAACGTCTCTGCCTCCACCTACAATAACTAACTAAGGAGGCTCTACGCAAAACGCATATCTGTCGATATCTCTCATTCACGACAGGTACATGAAACGTTAAATCCTTAAAGGTTTTGCGTGACATACTCCTAATCATGTCTTATTACTCATATAATAACCGCGATCTGTATTTGATACCCCAGTGATTGTTATTTTTTAAAGGTCTACCTATTAAAAATTGTATAAGTTTCTTGATCTTAGCTGAAGATGTAAAGGAACATTTTCTCTAGTTTGCTCTACATTTAAAATTAACTGCTCTAGATCGCGGTTTTGATAAACCCTAATAAGACAACTTTCATCATTCTGTGCTTAACTATTTTTCGTATTTATTTTCACCATTCCATTCTTAATTCTGCGTACGTTCTTAAATGAAGCGTATTGTTGCAGTTATTTGAGAACAAAACCTTCACGCACATTTGCTTAACTTTGTGGCTTTAGATCCTACTTATATTTTAAGCGGAAAATATTTAATGAGACATTCCTTTTGGTAATTGTATTTTGTAATTATAAGATCATGGATTATATTCCTGTCTTATTTTATATTTTAAGGTGGTTGGTGGATTTTATGTATTTTTATATAACTGTTGACGATGTACACACGTGTTTGTGTGTTGTTTTTATAAAATATCCATACTGCTGTGAAACGAAATGGGTGCTTCCTATTTACATATATATTTTGGATGTTAATTTTGAAATAAAGTTTATATTTTATACGATATTCAATGTTTTAATTGTTAATCCGCAGATCTGTTCCATTCCATAGTACACTGATGTAACGTAATGCACTTCTAATCTGCTGCCTTGTAAATACGGAGCATTGTCAATACGGAGAGAAGTCTCATGCCTGTATTATAGTATTGCCGAGTAATACGGGTCGTATAAGGCGTATACAGGTTGAAACGACATACGAAAATCAAACCTATAATAGATTCATCCTAAATATTGAATGAAAACATCACCGACCTGAATCAAGTGTTGCAATGAAAATGAAGTGCAAAATTATTATAATTATATTTTCATTGTGTGGTCGCCACTAGCCTGTATTAATTTGTAGCATTCATACCTGATAACCCTGAGAGAAGAACGCTCAATTTCAAATAGCTTACACCCAACTCCGGGTTATTAAATTAAACTTCTTTTATTGTATAATTTATACATTTATATCAAGAACAAAAAAAAATACAAAGGACAAAAACAGCACAGTGGGGTTCAGTGCGACTCAGTACACTTGTTTTCGCAGCAGTTACCGGTGGGGGTGATTCTGAAGGCCCGGTTTTTTCGGTCCCGTGCGTATACCGGGCCGGGCGTCGCCCACAGGCCTCGCTTGAGGCATGGGAACCACATCACCAGGAGTGCCGTGCCCAGTATTAAACCATACACCATCGTGGCAGTCACATAGTTAAGCACACTTGATTCAATTTGGAACAGCCGATTGTTGAGGATAGGACTACCTAAACCCATTGCCTAAACCATGATTCATGTTTTACAACGGGACGGGATCAATTATTTATTAGCGACTAGGGTGGTAATAAATACAGGAAATTGTCGTTGACAGATACTTTGACATATACCTTGACGATAGGTTGACAGAATGGATTGGAATGGACGCGAAGGCGCGGTTCGTTTCGTTTTCAAACTGTCTTTTGAAAGGTCTTGCGCGCACGTTTGACTTGTCGCCGTGACCACCACCGTGACTAAGTACCTACTAGGTACTTTGTTTCTCTTTATATAGCCTGACCAGGAACATAAAAACCCTGGCATAGAGGCGCTTCAATTGCATTTGATAGTGCAACACTGAGTACAGTCGTACCTGTGTTAAATTAATAGGCTAACTTTATGTATCAGGATTCAGGATTACGGGCTAATTTGATATTTTCATAAATTAACGAAAAAATATTATTATAGGTAACCTGATTTAAATAAATTAAATGAAACCATCAGTCGAGCTAGTAGATTTATTTTATTATTCATCAATAATCAAATTCAGAACTTGAATATTCAACTGCAATGTCTGCTCATGAACACTTCAAACTCGGTACTTCTTTCCCAATCCCATAAAATTCAACACTTAGAAAGTGACAAAATTTTTAAAATAGGTAGTTGAAACAAACCACAGCTAATTTTCATAGTGGACTGTACTATACGATAAACATGTCAGTCAATTTGACAACCTTTGTCGGAAACATTATTCAATGAAAATATTGTCCGAACCCTTAGTATTTCTCTTCGACAAATACTTTAACACATTGTGAACCACTTTTCTTTCACGACTATAAAAATATTTTAGCAATTTAATTAATAAAACCAATTGCGCACATTTAAAATAAAGTTTGTTTACACTTTGACAGCAATAGACTGACATGCAAGGTGACATGTCAATGAAGTTTTCAGTTACTGTTGCCATTAAAAGAAATTAGTACCATTAGTTTTCCGCAACATGGCGAGGGTTTTTATGTTCCTGGTCAGGCTATAAAAGTGTAAAAGATAAAGATATACCTTCATGTCACGGTGACCAAAGACACCTAAAGACGCAGGTGCAGGAGGATGTCATTGGGTGCAGGAATAAATAAAAAAAAATCCGAGTCCTCGTTGCTGCATATCACCTCTAGTTTACCACACTTTCTATTTTGTATTACACACAGTAGGTACATTGGGGTTGACCTTTCTATTTCTATGTACCTACTCTATACATAGATATTCTCGGAGATAGGAACGATGATTAGTCCAATAAATAAAATATACCGTTCCTTCATTTTGTTTATTTATTTCGAATTCGATCTACACATGAAAGATTGGTTTACATTGAGTTACAATTGATGTATATTTAATGGCATACTCACAAGCATTTCATATTTTGGTTCATTTAATCAAACTAAGGTCTAGATATTGACAGTACAAATAGTGTTATGAGGGTAGGCAAGGTCTAAATAAGTAGCCATAGTAAAGTTAATTTGCTTAGTGCTGCTGCTAATTCATCATCAGGTCATTTTAGTCTCCATTGCAAGAAAGAGCACAACTCTAGTATTTGCTAGAGGCAGAACGAAGATTGCACTTACTAGGTTTCAAGTGATACGGCCATGCGGAGTCCGGTCGCTTTCGGCTGAGTAGCGGTGCAAGTTTTTCATGCGCGATCTACAACGCCGCAAGTGAAATTTACGAAAAAGTTACGCCTGCCACTTCTAGCAGTCACTGGTGACCTAGTGTGCTAGGTAGTTCGCTTGTAAAACATTTCTTCATCATCACACTAATTATAATGTCAATATCTTCACATTACCTATTTATAATGTCAAAATCTTCACATTAGGGTTTCCTGCTTTTCCTTGAACTACGGATACGTAAATGTTAGTGAAGTTCTATTATTATAATTGATTTATACATTGTAATATGAACTATTGAACTAGGACGTTAATATGATACGAGAACATTGGTTATGTTTGTAAATGTTATACGAATCTTATCTTTTCGTTGGACTTCCAGCGACAATTTAAGAAAATGTTTGTACTTACAACAATTGGACATGTAACTATTCAGAGGAGGTGTGATTTGTTTGTAGGTGATCAAAGGACACTAAAATAACAATTTACTTAACTGGAGTCCACTTTGATCACCCAGGGCATCGTATCCATGGGTGATCAAAGGACACTAAATGATCGCTGGAAGTCCACTTTGATCACCTGGGTGATCAAAGGCAGGTGATCAAAGTGGAATAGACCCTTTTCGTAACAGCGTACAGTGGAGGCATATCCAACTTCTCGAGGTGGTAAAGTTGCTTTGATCACAGAAACCTTTAATTTTCTTCTATCGCATCTATTATTCTACAAACGTGATATTATTGAACTCTACCCGCAAAATTCTATGGTTATAATAAGATAGTAGATGACACATAACTACTATGTAGAAATTATAATGAGTATTATGGATTTCTTAGAAGTAAGTAGATACCTAGATATGTAAGTAACTGGTTATGAAAGTGTTGTATGCCATTAGATGACCATGGTAATTGTAGTGTCAGGTCTGAAATGAAAAACCTAATTAAAATCGTTATATCTACCATCTAAGTAGTAGTAAAAGTAAGTATCTATTCCTACGTAGAGTCAGAATAAAAATAATTTAGTAATTTAGATCTAGATACTATGTTAACATGTGATCACTCCATCATACAACTTATCAGAAATACCTAGGTAGGAAGGCAATATGGCCATTTCTCTAAAACTTAGGCAAGTTTCATAATAATACATATTTAGATCTACTTCATAAAGACTATGTATTAATTTACGTATACAATCATTTAAAAAAAAAATATAATTATCTTAAGTAGTCGTTAAATATTCTATTAGCTAAATTTATATAGTTTGTAGGTACTTGTCACTAAAAGTGTTTTTCCTATTCTCTGTCAACATTCGCAAGGCGCATCACCGTCTCTCAAAATCTGTCTTAAGTACCTATTTATCTTAAATCACTTTTAGAAACCAAGCGAGAAAGAAATCTCGAAACATTCATACTTAAATTATAGAATATCGATGTAACATACAGAGTTCTGTTAAACATACCTATATATGTACCTATAGTTAAAAGTTTAAGTTACTTTAAAGGTAGCTTATCGTAATAAATCCATGTGATAGGTACTATGTGTGATTATTACTCGATGCAAATAAAATTCTAATGTCTGAATGATGAAACATTTTGACGAATTAACTAAATTATTTATTTCTTTTTAATTTATCCATGGCCCTGCAACATTCTATCGCTAAAACCTTAATTAACTAATAATAAAAATCATTTATTATGGTCGGATCAGACAAAACTTTTATTTGCTAAACGCTATAACGCAGGAATAATAGTAATTAAGTACATATTAACATTATCTACACACATAAGTAGCTGTTTCAAACAGCAAAATTTAATAATGTTTTTCATAGATAAATACGAAAAATAAACAACTTCTATATATTACTGCTAACTACCACAACTTTAACATAATATTTCACTTTTAACAACTAGTTAAGTATTTTAATGTAGGTATACTTAATTATCTAATTTGGGTATGATTTGATCATTAAATTATTATATTTCTTAACTTTTAGATACTTATTTGTTACAAGAAATATTTCTACTTTCCATGCTCTTATTCTACAAAGGTATAAGTTAATAGAAACTTTGGTAAAAATCATCATAGAATAATTTAATGATAGGATACAATAATAATTATTGTATCTTGTCATGTTAAAGGCATTTAGTTAAAATTCAGTACAAATAGATTTAGCTAAATTGTAGCAAGTTATGTCAAGTATAGAATTAATAGGTAATTTTTATAATTAAGTGGTCATTGGGTAACGAAATGTATAATTTTGGAATATAATAGTAAATTAGTGTACGAAATGCGTGAATGGTCCTCATAATTAAAAAAAGAAAAAGGTAGGTAGGTACTAGTTACTATAAAATATCAGTATGTATAGTAATAGTATATCGGTGTGCATAGTACTTGATAAATAATATAGTATGTCCTATTAGATATGTATTTATTATAGATGACGTCTCTAATGTTTACCGGAAGCTAGGGAGGATACAAGAACTCTGTACTACTACGGTTGTTCTAGTAGGTAACGGGGGAATCCCCATGCGTGAAGGACGAAGGTACACTACCTCTATTGGCGTAACCAAACATGCCGGGCCGACGGCCAATCCGACGGCCTTGCATCTTTTACTGGCAAAGCATTTTGAAAGCCGGCGGCAAACTCGGCGGAATGTGTGGACACGCTATTATGTAGTTCTTGTCTTGAAAGTGGGTAGTAAGTAAAGAGTTAGCATGTAAACCTGCATTAGGATGTAGCCTACTTAAGTTTAATGCTGAGACCCAAAATCGCTAACGCTACAGTTTCAAGTGACATTACGGGATCACAATTTTGATATATTCACACGATTAAATCTCCTAATAGTTAATTATAATAGACACCAAATAACATTATGGGGTTATTCTATCAAGTCAATATAGCACATCAAAATTAGAGTTATCTGACCCTCGTCTGAAAACTACCAGCACCATTCATAAAGCCATCGAAGGTGTAGTTTTCGCTTCCTCCCCGGCGCTCAGTCGGCCGAGCGGTCGCGCCGGTGTCAGTCCTTTTTGTCCTCCTTGTCCTTGCGGCCCGGGCTCAGGGAGCGCCCGCCTTTATTCCTGCACATACACAAACCATCAGTCCCTTATCATGGCTGTCTACCAAATACCAGCGTAATCAGAACTCCAAATGGTCCGTGTACCTATATTACACACGGTGCTGCTCGCCAGTTCTGTTACTTGAACTTGGCGACCGCGTGTCTAGATCAGATTCAGCTAGTCTCTAAATTAAACTTCGACTAATTAGGTATTTTAAGTAGGGTAGTAAGTATGTGGCTTATTTGTAAAATTACAATTATGTGATCTAGTTACAGTTACACATTTTATTCTAAAGGAAGACTAGGTACATGCTGTTATAAGTACTTGGTCTATGAGGAGTCTTCCTTCGACTTGGCCTACTTTAATTTTGTAACTTATTTACTTTAACGAGAACATTCAAGTACTTAGTTACGAGTAGGTACCTACTCGTTTGTTGGAACTGGATATTTTTTATGTCATGATAAAACATGAGTGTCAACAATGCTCTATTATGTATTTTAACTAAGCTTGATGATAGCATTTACAAAGCAGCATGCTTGTGCGGGCGTTTCCAAAATCGGTGTAGGTACTGGCTCTAGTCCGAGTTTAGGTTCCTGGGTAGAGCAGCGTCAGTCATCTGATGGATAGAAACTGATTTCATTTTCTACAGTTTTGCCTTTAATAATAGTGGCATAAGGTGGGTATCCAACTACGCGAAGCTCTTGTCTCTACAATCCTGCAACTGCTCAAACGGCTCTATTATACTGTGCTTTGTGTTTGCCTATGAGCAGTACGAGCCGATGAAGACTAGAGCTACGCGGCGGACAGAGCGTTAAGGTTCTCTACGAGTAATATAGTGGAGCCACCCTTGTACACACAACCAAACTCGTACTACAAGATTCTTACTTGGGATGCTCACCTATAGTCATACAATTTCCTCGGACCAGAGCGTGAATTTAAGCTTTGAGGCATCTACGTCAGAACAGTTAATAGCTTGCCTGGTAAACGTCATCACCCTCCAGCCTCTTATGTGTCATCCCTCCAGTTTGGAGTGCCACCCGCCCGAGCTGAAGAATGAACTGACATAACAAAAGTTAGGGCTACTTGATCTGTATCACTAGCAATGAACATTCTCTTAACTTCATATGACTTGACTCTTAAAACTTATTATAATAATGTGAGAGTCATACGAATCCATATGATAATTTTTACGAATTTATGACATTGATAATAATTATCATCTAATATCATCCCTGTCGATACGATATTCGAAAATTGCTTTCAAGACAACCAGTAGTGGAACAACGTGTTTGCAAAAAATCGAACAAAATGCTACCTGCTGCTGATGAACTTCGACTTCTTTTCCTTCTCGCCTTTGTCAGAGCTCGTGCTTGGCCCGGCGACGGGTGCGGTCGACGGTCCTGCCACCGGTCCTGCCGCCACTCCCGCCGGCCCTGCGGCCGCCCCTGCCGCCCCTGCCGCAGCCCCAGCCGCCTGTCCTCCCTGGCCTCCTGCTCCTGCTGGCACCACTACCGGCCCAGCTGCCGCGGCTGTCTTGTCACCCTGAGATAGTAGGATAAATCCATCACACCCACGCAACCCAATAGCGTACCGGAGCTCTTTACCGGAAATTTACTGTATAAATTTTGATTCTGGTGTTTACAGCTACTTTTGGCATGAATATCAAAAACAAACTTAATACTGTTGAAGTAGCCATGATTCCCATGATTCAAAAAATGTTGAACTTACCTTAAGCAATGTAAAAAATGTTAATTACTTTATTACTATTACTTTTTATTACCTTGGATGCAGAAGGTCCAGCTTCGGCTTGCAGCTGTTGCGACTGGCTGTTCACATGCCCCATCTTCGAGAGCGGCGGATTCTTAAATGAGTAAGAGAAAGCGAGTCCTCGCTTCAACGATGCTCTGTAAGGCGGAAACATCAAACCACTCCATAAATTAGGAAACAATTGGATGTAGGTAGATATAAGTAAATTGAACTCAAAGCATTCTTCCATGCATGAAAATGGTGACACTGTTAGGTTAGGGCAGGACACTTGAAACGATCACATTTTCTGATGAGTTATCGTTTGTTTTTTGTGTTGTAAAAAGCTTCGCTTACCTATGACTCTTTTTGCATCCTAAACTTTAGTTAGCAGATAAATAAATATTACTCTTCGTTTTGCCTCAATTCTGTGGCCCTAGATTCAAATTCAAACTCTATATACCAAACTGGGTCAAAGCTCATGTAGAATGAACGGAAAAAATAGGAGAATTGAACGGTCGAACAATATGGAAACAGCAATCAAAACTCTTCTGCGGGGAGAATTTAGGATACAACGGTTTAGCAATCAGATGACTTGTAGGTCTAGCGCACGATTCCATCTTTCAACAGTTCGCTTATCCTTATTCTTAGGTACTGTAGAAAACCAGTTTCAAGTGAAATCAGTGATCATTTGCTTAATGTTCTGGCTCTGGCAGAACTAATGGCTGAGTGAAAGTTTTTACAGGAAAGTCAGAAGCAGAGTGTTTTAAAAGGTGTTCGTATCTGCATGATGTTGTTGGCAGGCGACGGTCCATCTCAAGCTTTTCCCACTTCACTGACTCGTTCAATTTTTGGCTGTGAATGAGAAACAGGAGTGTAGAAATGTGTAAAAAGCGGATTAATGCCTACTGTTCTTTTAAAAGCTGGAATAGCATTTACAGCAGTAGTAAGTCTGCAAAGATAAGCATAAGTTCCAGATTATAGGTTCCAAAGATGCCTAGGGTAACCTAAATGTTTTTGAAGTTGCGTTTTAAGTAATATTAAGACCTCCTGTTAAGCTAAGCACAAGCTCAATTTGTGATAGTGAACTCCGTTTACACACACAATCTCTTCTTTCCATATAGTTACATAGGAAAGGCATGGAGTCGTGTACTAACAAAAGGTTTCTTGTCATTAGTTTTAGGATATGTACTTAGAGTGTCAAGATGGAACTGCAGAGGTGTTGGTGCAATTCAACTCCAGTAATTACCTAATGGTAAGCAAAGCCTGTTACTATTAGCGTCCGGGTAGGTGAATTAAAGCCCACAAGGTCTATCATAAAGTGAAGTTATAAAGGCGATATGATTAAAATTTTAGTGGTAAACTCAAGAAGAAGTAAGGGGTATACCTTAATAGTTCTTCATTTTAGGTATGTTGGGTACTTATTGCGGGATATTCCCGTAAATGTATGGTGCCCATCAATCAGGTATTTATTGTTGTTCATGGAGTCTTATAACTTCCATCACGCTGCAGCTGTTGGTGGTCCCCTGTCAGCACGTCGCACCCATCATGCTTAAAGCTGACCTACCCAAAATAGCTGCTAGATAGTTTGTAGTTTAGTTTCTGGCAAAGCGACAACACTGGTCAACTTAATTGCATGTAATTTTTTATACAGCAATAACCAGAAGAGCAGAAAGTATTTTGAAATAAGTGAAGGACAGTAAGAGTTTCCAGCCCACTATTTGTTTAATGAAGGCTTATTTTTAAAAAGTAGGTAATTTATAGTGAGAGCTGATGTCATGATGTCTTCTTTAGATTGAGCATATTGTAGACCTACGTAGATATTCCTAAGTTCTACAGTACTGCACTCATTTAAGGCAAAACTTACTTCTTATTTAGTTTCTTATTATAATAACTAATAATAAATGTAATGGTGCAATTAAAAATGTAATAGCTGTATGTGGTTTATTGTTATTAAAAATACTGCCTACATCTAAAATTATGTTTAAAGTTTCGCATAACCAGATGGTGAAAGTGTGGATGCGCTTATACATTATTTAAATCAAGGGAAGGTGATAAGTAGGTACTCACTACACTACTAATGATAATTTACACGTGAAATGTAGTTTTGTTCAAGGGAGATCTTAGCGCGCCTAAAATTTTGACGGTAATCTTACCCTCGTAGTCGATCCTCAAGTATAAAAATGTTTACTACAGAGATTGGACGCTAGCTATTTGGTGCGTTTTTGGTGCGCTTATACATTATTTATATCAGGGACAGATGTTACGTGTCACTACACTGCAGATGAATTTACACGTGCTCCGAATTTTTGTTCAAGGTGTAATTATGTTTGAGGATCGAAGTATACGGGGGTAGAGCTAGACTGCTATGTTGCTAGACTGCTACGTTGCTACGACTAGTCTAACGAAGGCCCTGCCTGGTGGGACTGGGCGGCGGGTAGCTGGTGCCACGGTGGTTGGGAGACAGGTACTGGTGATGCTGCGCGGCCGAGAGCCGGTTGCGATGGAGCAGCTCCTGGTGCGATTGGTACAGCTTGTCGGACGCGGACTGGGTGCTTGGGCTGTGAAAAAGAACTTGGTTAGTAAACTTATTTCGTTTATTTACTTATATGTTCGATTTGATTGAATAATTCAAAGCGGCTATGGTGCAGCTAGCGGACTCTTAAAATGTAATCGTTTCACTATCATGGTTGGTGAGCACATAGCTTATAGAGCTGCTGACAGCAGGGGTAGAAAAGTTGCTAGTGGCGACCTGGTCCAATAATAATAACAACAATGTTAACAGCATCGTTGTGTTCCGGCTGTTAGAGATAGCCAGTTCCTCCGTGGTTGAGGATTCCGTCCGGGTGAAGCTCGCTTCCACCTTCGGCCTGATCGTCACTTACCATCAGGTGAGATACAGGCCAAGAGCTTCCTCGTTGTGAATAAAAAACCTTCTACTTAGTGGATCAACATCTAGATGCGGGTAGCGTAGGACCATTCCTTCCTAAAGGCCTCTCCCAAGGATTTAGGTGTGTGGGTAGCACAGGACCGATCGTTGTGGAAACCCTTGTCTTCTTTATTGAGCAGTGGACGTCAGGCTTATGCTGATGATGTGCTAGGTTTAATACCTTTGAGCTGGTCGTGGCGGCGAGGGGTCGAGGGTGAGGTCGGGCAGGCTGTGCACGAGCGCCATGACGCCGCTCTGTGGCTGCACGCGCAGAGTGTTGTGTGCGCGCGCGCTCGTGCTACGGCTCGCCAGTTTACCCGCCGACTTGCTGGGCGACGGTGATTGCTGCAACTGCAGAGAAACATGCTCGTGTAGCTGGCAGATTATTCTGCATTGTCCTGCACTTTTTGGAAGGAACAAGTACTTATAAATCGTTTTTCAGGCAACATAACCTTTGGCGCCCGGCTCCAATACCTACTGAAGTCTATTTAAGAATTCTAATACCTACCTATTGTAAAACTCTAAATTATTACCTAGGTACTTATTAACTTTATTCATCTATTCAGCACACATTCAAGGGTTTTAAAGTAATCAAACTAAGCTTTGAATTATTTATTGTGCATCTGTTATATCAGCTTCTCAAATCTGCAAAAATGATAGGATCATAAAAGGTTATGGGCATATATACGCTCTTATGGCTTGTCTTGAAAGGGTTCCATGTGGAAGGCAGGTAAGTCTATAGACCCTCAATGTGGGGCACGATAATGATTCTTAGTGGATTTGGCAATATACGGCCGCTTAATCTATTTTCCGCCCGTGTGGAAGATTTATGTGAGACCCTTCAGGGCCTAACCATACAGCGCACGCAACTTTGTGCATGTGTTGGCCGAAATAAATCATAACGGCACTTAGTTGAGTGTTCCTTTGCGAAATTGTTGCAGTTAACACCGTTATTATTATCGACTTGAATAGTTTCGTAGGCCCTATAAATTTAAAGCGTTTATATTGCCTTTAATGCGATTATAATTTTTTAATAAATCTTTACTTATATAGGATTTACATTGATTTAAATCCTAAACTAAATTTAATGCGGGAGAAGCTGCAGCCAAAAGCTAGTAAATAAATACAACAGTTTTACTTACGCTAGGGGGCTGCTCAGAAGGAACCACGGTTTCCGACTCGCTCTCACTCACGACGTTCACCGTGATGGATGTTACTGCTGTAAAGTGAAAACCAATCTGTTTAGTATATTTTAATAAATAAATAAAAATCTTTGGATAATTTCATACAGCGCCAGCTAGCCCCAAAGCAAGCAACTTATATGCTGGTGGTATGGGTGCTAGCTTGACGGATATACTACTTATAGACTTTTTTTAAATACATACATAGCACCCAGATCCCTCACAGAAATTAAAATTCATCATTTCAATTTCTGCCCGGCCGGGAATCGAACCCGGACCTCTCGGCATAGCAGTCCGTTCTGAACCACTACACAAACGGCCGATTGAATAATGCGCGAGAGTTGAGGCGATCAACCAAGATTTATTTGTGTTTTTTATTGTATCGTTATACGCTCACCATGCTGGATGAACAGCAGATAATTTAATCAATATCCCAAACGTTATATGTGACTCGCACCTAATGTTGCGTACATTGTGTGTTGGATTACGTGATACCGGCGCCAAAGTGTTTAAAAGTAATGACAGGAAATTTATTTTTTTCCTGAACACAGAGAGCCGGATATCATGACATGCCTGTTTAATTTTTATGTATAACAATGAAAACGGAATACATGCGTATAAAATAATACAATCAATTAATTATAATAAAACAGTTGGAGGTTAAGAGTTAAATTTGGCCGTCGCTCAGTTTCAGTAGAAACGGTTGAGAGCTCCGCTCCGCTTGGAGAAAATTATGATGATGAGTAGCTTGGGGTCATTGGACGAAATTCTACGTGCTCGGCGACCGGACTTTAGTTAAAGTGAGTAGTGCTGAATCTTACCGTCGTCCGGGTTCTGCGGAGGGATGAGGTGTTCTACGGAGGTGCCTGCTTTGTACAGATTCCTGGAGCTGGGACCAGCTTGCGGCTCATCATGGGAAGCAGCGCTAAGGAAACACAGTAATAAAGGAGATTATTTCATTTATCAATCTCTCATTTGACATCGGCAAATGTGAATCGTGCAATAAGTATTAGCTCACGAGTGATTACTATCAACTATAATTTTCGAATCAGTAGTCCAACATCCTGATGCGCCCTCGATATTATTCTGTGGCTCGACTTTCGACTGGCATGTGAACAGCCTAACAAAAGCCGGACAGACCGAACAAAAGAGTATTTGGCCGGACTGTAAGTCCGTAGAAGCTATACGTCCTATAGCTGAAATGATACAGAATCTCTTCGTATATAAAATATATGAACTCAATATTCAGTTGTTTAGTTTAAGATTTACGTGGGGTATTGCAGCGAACCCTATGCGTTAGCTTTCTCATTAACTTTAAACTAGAGACTTACTAAAACTACCTTTTTCATTGGATTATGTCTTGTTATGTTATTTAGAATACCTATTTATCTGCTCCGTTAACTGAATATGGAAAGTTAAGTGAACTTAAGTAAGTAGCAGAGCTATAAATGTTCCATTTCTAAAGGGGACTACTTAATCGCCCTTTACGCTTTTTAATTTAAAATTAAAATACTGCTATGCAATGACAGGGAATAAATAGAAACAGAGTGTTCGGAAAGAAATATTACCAATTAGGGCTAGACCGCCATTCTCCTGGATAATCTTAATCGACAGCTAGACAGACGGGAGTAGGGTTGCCAGGTCCAAAAACACAAAAGCCGGACTCAGTGCTTAATTTGGTTGGACATTTTTCATCGTCGTCGTCGTCGCCGGTCAAAAGCAAAGTAACATATTTTCGTGGTCTTTTTGGTGAACATGTGATGCCAGGTAAACATGCTAATTTGCTTATCTTCAAAAGTTTGCACATAAGGCCCTGCCCTGCTGCCACATAAAAAGCCTGACAAAAGCCGGACAGGACAGACGACGGAATATTTGGCCGGACAGCAGGACCGTAAAAAGACAAACATGTCCGGCTAAAGCCGGACACCTGGCAACCCTAGACGGGGAGCTTAGTACTGGAGCGCGCTCGCCGCAACCGAGGAACCACTACAAGTACAGCTAGGCACTGTACCGATGAGAAAATTCCCGATACTTTAGCAGATTAATTATTATTATGGATTTTACTGCCATACGGAGATTCAAAGATTTAATTCATTCTCAGAGATATTGTGGTATAAAAATGGTAATAAAGATAATAAAGATATAATCCTTCGTAGGTAATCAATAATTGTTATGGAATTGGTTAGAGAGCAGGGAATAGGTAACCTGTACGAGTATCTATTGAAATATCATAATCCAAACAAAAATTCGTAGCATATATTTAAAATAATAAAGATCCAAAGATTATTTATTCACAATACAATAATTTATCTCCATAAAGCGTTAATCTGAAAAGAGTATTCCCATTATTATCAATACTCCGAAGAATCATCATCATCATTTCAACCACGGAACGGCCACTGCTGAACATAGACCTTCCCTAATGACTTCCACAGTTGGTAACAGCCTGCATCCAGCGCTATCCTGCTACTTTTATCAGATCGGCTCGGTGTTTTTTTACGAGATCGAATCAGAAATGAGGAGATCCATAACCGTAAACGTACTAAAGTCGCTGACAAACTTAGCCCGACTTCCCGATTCATCGTAGTCATTTACCGTGACAATTGTTAAGATTCGGCCAAACCAACGCGATCAACCGGCGTGCAGCGATGGCGAACAATGCATTTAGGTCTGGTCGCCATCGCTGCACGCCAGCTGATCGCGCTGTGATCGCGTTGGTTTGGCCGAACCCTTAGCCAAAAAGACCAAAGTGTACCAAAAAACGGTGGCTTTGGTGTCGTGTAGGCAAAAGTCATGGGAAAAAAGGAAAATTTAATTGTATCGGAATTGCAAGAAGAATTGAATTGGTATCATGTATAGGTCCCATTGTTTGTGCTAGAATAGTGTAACAACTGTTTCATTTAAAATCATTATTTGATCAGCCATCGTCGCGCTGTATCTCGTGTTATTTTAACCTTTAATTATGTAAAGCTTGTGTAGTGATAATGAATTGAAAACAACCGCACGTTTATAATGCGCTCGGGTTCGGGTCTAAAACGGGGTTATCGGTTAATAAATAGGTATAGAAAACAAAAGCAAGCGATGTATTTATAGACAATGAACAAGTAAACTGAATTGTGAGTTTTCTTCAGTGGGAGAAACTGAGTCGCGAGTTATTGTCCTATTATGGACATTCGTTCGCAGATCCATCTCAGGTTATGACGCGATCGAGGCTTCCGGCTTCGAGGGATCCACCAATCCCTTCTTCCGGTTGCTTTTTAAAGAGGTTTTCTCCTCGCAGCCCAGGTGAAACGGGACCCCCGGCCCACCATAGCTAGATATACGCCTTAGGTAGCGAGTGATGGGGATAGAGCTAGTCCTTGAATTAGTAGGCTGACTAGGTGCTAGTTGCCCTTGCCACGTAAGGTGACACGTACGGAAAACGCAACGTGAGACGTCCACCCATAACGTGGACCGACGACCTCAAAAAGGTAGCAGGGAGGCGCTGGATGCAGGCCGCTACCAACCAGGCGATGTGGAAATCATTTGTTAGCAGCATAAGGTACCCTGGACCTGGTGGACGGGTGGAAGCTGGTTGCGCGAGCTGCCGCGGGTGGAGGTGCGGTGCATGGGGTCATTTTGCGTCGTATTGTTAGCAGCATAAGGCACATACCTGGTGGACTGGTGGAAGCTGGAGAGGCGCGAGATACGCGAGCTGCCGCCGGTGGAGATGCGGTTCATGGGGTCATTTTGTGTCGTATTGTTAGCAGCATAAGGCACATACCTGGTGGACTGGCTGGAGAGGCGGTAGTTCTGCCAGTGGAGGTGTGGTGCATGGGGTAATTTTGTGTCGTATTGTTAGCAGCATATGGCACATACCTGGTGGACTGGTGGAAGCTGGAGAGGCAGAAGTTGCGCGTGTTTCTACCGGTGGAGGTGTGGTGCATGGGGTCATTTTGCGTCGTATTGTTAGCAGCATAAGGCACATACCTGGTGGACTGGTGGAAGCTGGAGAGGCGCGAGTTGCGCGAGCTGCCGCCGGTGGAGGTGCGGTGCATGGGGTCATTTTGTGTCGTATTGTTAGCAGCATAAGGCACATACCTGGTGGACTGGCTGGAGAGGCGGTAGTTCTGCCAGTGGAGGTGTGGTGCATGGGGTAATTTTGTGTCGTATTGTTAGCAGCATAAGGCACATACCTGGTGGACTGGTGGAAGCTGGAGAGGCGCGAGTTACGCGAGCTGCCGCCGGTGGAGGTGCGGTGCATGGGGTGCCGCAGGCTGTGCAGCGCCGAGCCTCGCCCGCTGGTGCCCGACGCAGCGCCTGCGCAAGATGCTGGCCGCACCAACAACATGATATTATAGTTACGTGCAAATATTATACATTTGAAGCCACGATAGCCGAACGGTGAATGGGTCGGACTGGCCGACTCGAGATCCGAGGAACGCGGGTTCGAATCCCACCGCCGCTCGACTATTGTGGTGGGCACACTCGTAACATAAGCGTATTTAGCTTACTTATTAATAATCTTTAAAAAAAATCATTCCAGTTATCACCTTATCACAGCGCAATATGGGTTTAATTAAACCGTATTAGCGTTCACCGATTGGCGCCGCTGTAAAGAAAGTTCCAGTCATTCGCTAGGTGGCGGGGATACTTAGTGGTGAAAACTGAACTCGATCGGCAGGAACTCATTAATATGAGTATGCAAAAAGGAGTAGCTTTTATTACAGTGGAATGGGGATGTTGCCTGGGTCAAAAAGCAAGAGTTTTAATTAGTCCGTCATTTAACTTATCAAAAAATACTCTACACGTATTTTTCACTTTTTCAAACTAATGAAAATTTAAAGAGATAAAGCGCCCCAAAGTTCATAAGAAGAGGCCCGTGACGTCAACGCTTGCTTAAAAATGCCGCACGTTGTGACGTCGTGCGCAACTTCAACGCACCATAACTATGTAATTATTTGTTAGATTGACAAATAAAAATATATGTGTCCAATATTTTTTGATATTAAACATTACGGACTAAAAAAATTTTTTTAGGCAACTAGCCTATTGTTACGGAGTGGACTGTATGATGGTTAATATGATATTGAGGCTGTTGGAAACTCTTATTATCACAGTGATGAAATAGTAAAGTGGTAGTAAATCCAAATCTTACATCTAAACTAATGAGTCAATTTTAAAAGTCTTCGTTTCATGTATCTCTTACATCTAAACTAATGAGTCAATTTTAAAAGTCATCGTTTCATGTATCTCGGTTAATCACCTATTTATGTTATGTCTAACTCTTCGTTTGATAATACTATTCTAGATTACATGCTGAATACCGGCCAACGTCGATAATGCACACATTGGAAGATCTTCAGCTGAAGGCACATATGAAATCGAAAGTAAGTGGATGGGGGTGGAAAGACTATGAATTATTTTAAGTAAGTTCTTGCAACTCACGAAGGCGAGTGAGCTTTACTTGTGTGTATACGTGTACATGCACATAACGATTGAAAAACGAACAGTAGCGAGCCACCACACATGCAAAGCTGTACTCGTACCACAGTATACTGTGCTCGTACCTACCTACAATTTTGATATGTTTTAGATTTACGAGTAGATGATGAAACAAGTAAGCCTGAGTGTTTGTTGTTAGTTCAATAATAATTAATGTAAACAAAAATCTTTCTCGATATCATTATAAATTATAACGTCTAAGATAAATCATAATTTATAATTATAATTTATAATTTATCTTAGACGTTGTGCATTTCTTGCCAATACATTTTTGCTAGACTGAATTTCCATTTCCAAGCTATAGTCAAGACGGCGTGTCGCCCAAGAAAAAATAAGAAAAGAACACAGCATCGCGTTAAAAGCAAGCATTCTTAGCTCGTCGGACAGTTTGTAACTGGGTTATGGTTTTTTAGTTTTTTAGAGTTCCTTTTCACCAAAGTTAAAAGATATACCTATCTCTATTAATTTTGTCTTCGCTGTTTATCTGTTCGTCATCAGTAGGCTGAATCATTATGTGAATTTTAGGATAATCACTTAGGAGTCAGATTGGTGTACTGGTATGCATACGACTATGGGTAATTATAGATCCACCGCAGTTCTTCTGACAACTATAAAATGGGTGAAGGGGAGGCAATACATATCCAGCTTCTGGCCTAGGGGGGCAAGTCAGATTTTTATGTCAGATAGTTTGAGCTCCTTCAAAGCGACTTCCGGGGGATCCAGCCCCGGACTTATCGAACAGAATCGATAAACGATCGACCAGCAGATCAAGCGCCGCAAGTGGAACTGGATTGGCCACACTCTCCGAAGGGACCCCGATCACATCCCTAAGCAGGCTCTGGATTGGAATCCCCAAGGAAAACGCAAACGTGGTCGACCCAGGCAAACTTGGCGGCGCACTGTAGCGGACGAGGCGAAGAAGATCGGCAAGACCTGGAGCGAGATCAAGCGAGAAGCTCAAGACCGAACGAGATGGAGGACTGTTGTGGACGCCCTCTGCCCCATCTAGGGGACATAGGACCATAAGTCAAGTTAAGTCAGGATACTTACCATCGAAGGAGTCGGTGTTCATGGACCCCTGAGAGAAGTCGTACTCCGTAGAGACGCCCATGCAGCGGTGCAGCATCACGGCCACGCGTTCTCGCGCCTCTCGCTCGATGTTGGCGTCGTCGGAGCTCTGGTCAATACAAACACTTCTTAGACCACTTTAATATTTAGGCGACTTTGGCAGCGCGACTAATTCATACTACCTGACAACGCGGCAGCGGCATTTTTATAAGTAATGTGAAGGCAGACATGCGCTATTGCTGCGCTTCTGTCGCCCTAATATGAAAGCGGTCTGTCACCACACTACTAGCGGCCACAGCACGACTAGTGCCTACCACGAGTTGCAGACGAAAATTGGGTATTTAGTTGTCACCATCAACCAATCCATTCTAGTCATGAAAACCGAGCTGGTTCACATTAGCTGTACCTACAATTGTTTTTTGGTAGCTTTGAAATCGAACAATACTTTGTTAATTGAGTTGGCGGACTGGTGACGTCATAATCGTTCAAAGTCTACAGGAGAGTCCCGTTTTGACAGGTCATAAAAAACAAGAACGGTGGAATGGGCTTCAACGGATTAATAATGTGAAGGATGATACTTGAATGATAAGTTTAGTTAGTAGGATAAGCTATACCAGTTTACGCACATGGATATCCAACCCAAACAGCATTATTTGGGATATAGAAGAAGTGACTTTTTAGCTATAACCAGCCTTACTAATATTTCCACCATCTTGTGCTTGAGGATTTTTTCTCTCCACGAAGGGACTATGCTAGAGTATGGCTCACCGGACGAGGCCCGCTGACGCTGCTGGCGGCATAGTCTGATGAAGAGTCCATGTCCACTTCTGAGATATCCCTGGATGGATTCTTCGCAAACCAGACGCCAAGCTCGTACGTCAGTTTGGCCTCCCGAAGCTTCTGCTCCCACAGCTTTTCAAGAAAAAAAAAAAACAGTTTTAATAAGTCAAATTGGACAGGACACGTAAACTTATACTTGGAATGAAATTAAATAACGAGGGTGAAGGACAAGTGTTGGCGAACTAGACTAGACGAAACAATGACTTTGGTACCTACCTTCTGAAAACCTGTATGTGTACCTAATATGCAGGGAGAATTAAAAAATTGACATTATTTTGATATAAGACTACTCATAATACATAGTAAATACGTACATTCCCCAATTAAGAGACAAATCCATGAGTTTTTTGTCTATTTTGAATATTTTATTGTCTTGAAGTTTAAAATAATTGTACAGTCAAGAGCACAATAGAATATACATAGATTTTTGTTGCAAAATAACACCTATTACATTGAAATAAAATGCCATAGTGCTAAGCTTGATGTGCTGTCTGCACAAGGTTTAAAACTTTAAATTACTCAAATTTTAACTCACTGGATTAGTCTCATATTTGGGGAATTTACTATGTATCATGAGTAAAGTTAAGACTCTACTTAAAAGTTTTAAAAGGATGCCAACGATTTACATCCTGTATAACACGTGTTCTTTTATGCTTTAAATATGAGTAGTAGGAACTAATGTTGTACATACATTGAAGAGTGCAAAGACTATGAATAATTTTCTTGCCGTACCTTCAGCGTCAAGTGAGGATTAGCATCCTTCGCTGTCTCTGTGAGAGCAAAGCTCTGGAAGGCGGTGCCGACGTCATCAACCACAACGAACAGCAAAGCCATGATTTCCCTGCCAGTGGGGCGCGACTGGAACTTTGGGAAGTGCATCATTCTATCCACCATGTACTTCGGCCTACAAAATATCACACCTATGTATTCGCAACGCAGCTAAATTTGAACATTTAATCGGTAGGTATATTTCTTCATTAAGACGCAAGCAAACTCGTATTCGCATACGCTCTACCAAAATAACAGTTACAATAAATAAATTAAAATCAAGTACATACCTGATTAGTTTGTAGGGGAGGGCAGCGCCCTTGGATAGTTTTTTACAAATAAGAAGCATGTCTGTCAAGAGGAAGGCTCGGACCTCTATCTGTAAGTAAACATACAACTATGTACTTATTTACTACATACTTTGAGCTTGGAAAAAGCTAAATAAAATAATGTCTTTCGCTACAATTTAAACATTACATTCGCTAGTAGCTTTAAAATATCAGCATGTAAAGGTAGACTACACTCTTGATTCAAATAATACACTTATTCTTAGTATAATAAATGTTTAATGGCTGGTTATTATGTAACTCACGTGTCTACCTTCACATTTTTATCACTAAGATTATATCTTTTCGGGTGCACCCGATTCCCATAACGCTAGCATTATTATAGAATTTTCCCCTTTTTAATAAATGTTGCATAACAGTAATAGTTGTTAAAATGGCAAAAGCTTGCTAACAATTGCAAGTATCTATGTATAGTTAGCTATAAACGTATCTGCTATGCGCAACGTTTATTAGTATTTACAGGGGTGGCGGGAAAACTTCGGTAACAACAAAGTAAAACAGTAAACACTAATTGCTACCCAAGGTTAAGTCAAATCAGCGCCGGGCTGATGTTACTAATAATGATAAAAAAAAGGTTTTTTGGTACTCTTGCCTCCTTTGCACTGTCTCTGAAGCGAAGATCACCCTGGTGAATCAAGGTGCGACTGTGGGTGGGCATACAGTTCACCATTGGTGCCTTCAGGTTTATCGCAGAGTACAGGCGGAAATAGCGCTCCAAGTCTTCGTCCTTGAAATCCTAAAAATAAACAATCGTCCTATTATATGTTCGAGACTCTCTTTCTTTGCATGCGTTGTTATTAACAGGGGATCGGTTATATTGCCGTTGCGTTATAAGACGGCATTGGGACGTGGTCTAGTACTAAGGGTAGGTATTACGAGGAGGCCCAAGATCACCCAGCTCATGCTATTGTTGTAGCGAGTCAGCCAGCAGTCCGAAACTTAGCGGCGTTGAACCTATATTATAGTACAAAAGGTTGTCAAATGAAGTTAAGGTTAAACGCAGCATGAAAAACCACCTGTCCAGTACACCGATGACCTGACAACCTGATAAAAATCTCTACATCCTGTTTTTAAATACACAGGTAATTTAAAACCAACCAATAGAGCGTATCGGCTACTCGAATGCCTGTCGATATTGGAAAAATCTTAAAAATCAATCATATTCTGGATCTGAGCCTGCATCAGGCACTTGAACACGACCCAATTCGTTTGCACCAATATAATTTAAGTTTGCATTTTCGTAAGGGCATAGATTTCAAAAAGTTTTGTATGTGTTCCAACTGAAACTACAGACATGTATGGAACTGTATACAGGGTGGAAACGATAAGTGATCTCACTCGATTATTTCTAAACTATACAAGATATCGAAAAATAGGTAATTGATCCTGAAAGTGCTTCACGTGCTCTTTCAAACGGTGCCAGTAACAGGTTACAGAATTAACTGGATCTATCAGAAAATTCAATGTTTTCAGGCTCCATACTAAATGTATGCCAGCCACACAATATCAGAAGTGTTATTTTTTTTTATTCAATAATAAACACTTAAATTGAACTTCAAATTGCATTCTTATTTAAAATTATTCATGAAAAACATTAGTTTTAAGCTTTACTTGATATAATATTATCAAGACATGAGTGCCATGACTGTGACAGTACTAAATGTATGGAAACTGGAAACATTGAATTTTCGGATAGATCCAGTTTATTTTGTAACCTTTTATTGGTACCGTTGGATAGAGCTCGTGAAGCACTTTCAGGATCAGTAACCAGTTTTTGGATATTTTGTATAGTTTTTAATATTATGTGGTTTTACTAAATGTATGGAAGCCGGAAACATTGAATTTTCGGATGGATCCAGTTTATTTAGTAACCTATTATTGGTACCGTTGGATAGAGCTCGTAAAGCACTTTCTGGATCAGAAACCAGTTTTTGGATATCTTGTATAGTTTAGAAATAATCGAGTGAGATCACTTATCGTTTCCACCCTGTATGTACTCGTTTATTATGTCAACGGACATAATCTATGTGTTACTGTCCTTGTTGTACCTACCTACAGTTAAACATCACCTATGGCTTCTAACGACGCCAAGATTAATATAGTAGATTTGTATTAGTACCCGAGTCTATAGATTTTGTCAATAGTAGACCCTTTGGGCTGCGGTTACAGTTCCATTCATTCGGTTGATGAAATAATAGCCCGTCGCTTACATACATTTATTTAATTTCCAGGCAATGTGGGTCCCGGTGGGCACTCACATTATCAAATAGTCACAATTCCAATATTTAACTGACAACATTAAACTCATCTACAACGATAATAAAAAATAAAAACAGAAGAGATAGCACAAATGAAAGGAACATAATATAAGCAACAATAATTATCAATTGGGTACTTGGGCAAAATACTTTTAAAGGGTGCTTCTGTTCCTGTAAAATCTTAGCAAGGGTAAAAGTGTATGTAATCGTCTCATTCCTGTAGGTTAGCCAAGTGCGTGTCGTGTCAGTAGTGTAGTTCCGTAGTTGTCCGTCGTCGTCGGGCTATACTTGAGTTATTACTCTTAAACTAACTGATGTATCATAACCGTTATAGTTTTCCTTGAAAGTTCATGAAAAGCAGNTTTTTAGAGGGGGGGGGGATGTGTCGGGGGATGTAGTGATCTACTTTAAGGTCGGCTACTGACTTTAAGGGCGTGGTCTTTGTCCGGACATACTGTATATTTTATGCATAACATAATGAACATAAGGTTTTTTTTTTTAAGTATAAAATTAAAATAGATAGCGGCTTTTTTTTTTTTTTTTTTTTTCTAAAAAGATTATTACTAATTTGTTATTACACAAATTACTAATACTCCCGTTAGCCCCTCGTACTAAGCTAAATATGCTTGTGTCACGAGTGAGCTCACCACAATAGTCGAGCGGCGGCGGGGACCGAACCCGCGTTCCCCGGATCACGAGTCGGCCAGTCCGACCCCTTCACCGTTCGGCTATCGTGGCAATTTAGGTCAAGCCCATTGAAAATGTAGGTACAGAATATTGGGTTCTTACTCATTATTTCTTGTTGGAGAATCTAGCCACAATGTGCTGGAAAAACGCACGCAGGCGACTAAACTCAAAGAACCTATGAGTTCGTCGGGGCTGCAACAGTACTTACATAATAAAGAATTCCGCAATTTCATTATAAAGTTCAAAGGTAGATTTCAGTGCATCGCGGATTATCACAAACGTTTGGGATCTAAATAATAATGACCTATGAGAGGTAAATGCGACGATTATTCGCGCGATGGAATGTATGGCGCCTCTTCCAAGGGTTGCGACAGACGCGCACGACAGACAACTTTAAGTGACGCCATAGGTACATTTTGAAAAAAAAGAAAGAAATTTTATTTATTATTTTTATTACTATGAGTGGAATGACTTTATGGTTTTCGGGACTATTCCCACCTCTCTTACCCACCGCTGCAACTCTTGTGTAGCCAGGATCTAAATAAAAACCAACCAGTGAAGGTCAGGTTTGTACCGGGGGAAAGTTAAACTGTCATTGGACCCGCAACGAAATTAATCAGAAGAACATAGGAGGAGTTCGAAGTTAAGGTTCGACTTCCCTCCGTTGCAAAGGGGATGACAGGTGATAAAGACTTTAGTGGTTAGCATAAGTTTTCAAGGCAGAGCAGGGCGTAGCGAAGAAGTCACCGACGCCGACGGAGACACAGGCTTTAGTATGCGAGTGTAAGGCCTGGTTTAGACACAGCGATAATCGAATGGTTGCTGGGCAGATCTCGTGCATTTGCCTCAAACCGTAACCGCACGGTTACTGTCTCAGTGCCTCGCCAATGAGAACCACCAAAAAACCACGCGGTTGTCGCGCGCGTCCGTACAAGACCTAAACGGCATCCACATGGTGGTATTGGCGGCAAAAAAGATAGCGCGACCACAACGTGTATGCTGCGCGGCCGCGACGTTTTTTTTACTACGGTGCACTTGTTCGCTGCGCCAGAAGAAAACACATATACTATAGGTGTACCAGAATCTCATGGCAAATGAGGAAAATAAACTTTGTTGAGTGCAAAACTGGGGAAATTGGATTAAACGATCTTGATACTGTAATTTTTTTTATTTCTATGACTTTAATATTAATGAAAATGAAGTACGAATAATATACATTTTAGGTAGGTATGTGTATGTAGAATGTTGATAAACATCGGGCTTTTAACTAGGAAAATGTCATGAAAAATAAGTAAATCGTATATTACTTTATGTAACTAATTTTATTATGTATCATACTACTAATCACTTCATTCAGAACTAGAAAAATATTCTAAGAACTCCACTTGAATTTCTTGTTCATCAAATTAATAAATGATCAAGGTAAAGAGGTATCTATTATAAATCGCTCTTCCAGCATTTCAATTCTTCAATCTTGCTTGCTTTTTAATTTTTTTTTACATGGGCCTAACATTTTCACCATTCCTCTGCACCCATTTGTGAATAACCTGAAAACCCCGATAAAGCAGCTATTAATTAAGTAAGAATAATATTATTATAAAAAAACATAACCTTCCTTTTGACGCAGTCGGGTAATAAACTAATTATAATAATAATAATAATATATAATAATANAAAAAAAAAAAAAAAAAAACACAGGACAGTGTTTAAACAACCAGGAAGTGGGTTACTGAGTTACATAAAAATTATTAAGATAACTAGGTATACAAAGAGGGAAGCACCGGTTATTGTAACTGTTACGGTCAAAATAAGGTGGCGCAGCCAAGCCCAAGTATACATGAGAGGATATATTAGTTAGTGTGAATGTGTTTGTATGTGTGTGGTGTGTGTATGTGTGTGGTGTGTGTATGTGTGTGTGGTGTGTGTATGTGTGTATATGTGAGTGATGAATACTACGTTCTTTTATTTATTTATTTTAGAAGATTTTCGGTGTCTGCATAGGATAGGTTCTGGAGATATGTTGTGACATTCTTAACCACTTCATATCTATTTAAGTTGTATATGGATGTGAATTTATGCAGTGTATTGTACAGTTTACAGGAAAGGGCAACGCACTGTCGTTTTGCAAAAGTCGTTCTACAAGTTTTTAGGCTAATTATTAATAATTGTATCAAAATATTTCAGTCCAACTTACCAGTCAACTAAACGACGTGCTTTAAAATCAAAGATTGACTTTGAATATGCCTTATTTTACAATACACATTGAAAATAATAGATATGACTCGCTTGAGCTTTTTCGACATTTTCACAAAAATAACAAATAGTCATGAAGACATCACAAAACTTCTGCAGCGACTGACAGATTTCTTAATTTAATATGAAAGTCACACTTTTCCAATAATTTATTTTTGTTTGCCATGAGATTCTGGTAGACCTAAAGCACTATTTACTGTCGCGAGCTAAATTCGCGCGTGGCTACCGACTATTGTTTGCGATGCACGGAACTCTACCTTTATTTAACAGCAATAATCTCGTCGGACTTACTAGTTCGTAGATATCGATGGAGTTCGCTACAGCATCAAGCTTCTCCAGCTCTTCGCGTTGGCGAATAGCACGATTCAGGTCGAGCACATAGTTCTTGGCGAAGGATTCCTGGATATTGAAAGAAAACCGTAAGGCAAAGTACCTCTAGTACGAAAAACTTTCGAGTTCGTTTCGTTTGCGTATTCAAAGTGTCATCGAAAAATTTTGTATGAAAAATTAAACAGCGCCCCCTAGGGCGGCTATAATATAGGAGGCGCTGTTTAATTTTTCATACAAAATTTTTCGATGACACTTTGAATACGCAAACGAAACGAACTCGAAAGTTTTTCGTACTAGAGGTACTGTTATCAAATGCTGTCGATTTATGAACGAGTAAGGAAAGTCAGATTTAATACTACAACGTATACCCTTTTTGGGCGGTTGTCTTGCTTGATAGTGACGACGGGATTCCAGTAAGGACCCTATTTTGCTGGAAGCGGTTTCAGGGTAGGGAGGTTATGGATATGTAGTTTCGGTTATGGATACGGTTACGGATATAGGAATAATATTATACCGGTTTCGATTACACTTACGAATATTTTCTTATTTGGGATATCCGAAAGTTTCGGTAACGGTTACGGATATCTGTGCTTTAGAATGCAATTTTCAATAGTTGTCCAACAACTAAAAATTGATCTAGATGGCATTATGAAGGTAAATCAGGCTGTTATGCCTTTACATATACTTAATGCTATACAAAAAAACCATTTAAACTGACTATCTATATCCAAAACTATCCGAAACTTTTGAATCGGATACGGATATTTTTTTATTTTGGATATCAGAAAGTTATTTTCATACAATTAGGTTGATTTCCTTTTAAATTCTACTATGTACCTGATGTTCGGTCTCAAAGTTGATGACTAAGACTTGACTTACCCTTTTCAAAGTTAAAGTTAAACTATAAATTACTAGTTTAAATGGGAAGACGGCAGTCGACTAATCCAATATTGTAATATCGGAAAATGCTAAACTAAGCAATTAAGCATCCTCTGAGATAATCTACAGTGGCGCACATCATTAACGCTCCCCAATAATGTGGAATTACGCGGCAAAATACGGAAATTATGTAGGTTAGCAAAACAAGCAATTTTCTTATTACGAGTATTGTTTCGTTGCCGGGAGTTTGCTAGGCATAAAATTTATCAGGAAAATGTGATTCCAAATAAGCAGGAATACCTCGCTCTTGAGTGATGATGTCACAAGTACAATTGGTATTGACTGACTTTCAATTATTATTATAAATTGAAAGTTAAAGTAATGCATCTCCTCTATCTCTCTTTAAAATACTATTATTCGTACCTATTTACAAAACTACTATTTTAACCTAACCTAAATATCTGCAATTGCTTTTAAAATAAGTAATTTCATACACGGCCACTTCACTTTTAAATTATCACATGGTCAGGTTGGCTCTTGTGACCCTTTACAAAACTTTGAAACCATTATGTAGCGTTAGTTAGTTATTTCGAGCTACCCTAGTCAAGTATGAATTTATAAACTCATAACGGCAGGTGTTCAAAACAGTTTCGTTGAAATTATTAAACTAACATCGAGTCCCCCACACGCTATAAAAGCATCGATCAGCTATCCATGCCATGTTGATACTTCCACTTAGAAACTATACGTGTAGGTCGTTAGGGCTAAACTTGATGACTTGCATTGAGAGCTAAATGTATGCAGTGTTCGATACGTTCAGGGGAAATGGCTCTCAGAACTAACTCGTAAATAAATTACGGAAAATTGGTTGGAAATTGGACCTTAATGGGTTTCCTGTCAGAACTTATGTACAAACAATATTTTGTAACTTCCATCGTAAGCGAATTATTTATTTCTTATGCACGGGTTAGAACGTTCACTACCCTTTTTACCGGTTGAATTGATAATGTAGGGCTGTTTTGTACAAGCGATTGCACACGGTCTCTCATGTTTGGAATGTTCTTGTCATAAATGTATGTTAAGACATTCCCTGGTAACAGTCGAGTTCATAAAAACATTGACAGTGTCAATGTTTCAAAATATTGTTAGCGTTTTAACGATCATATTACATATTTCAATACAAACTCAAACATCAATCAAATGTAATAATCATTACTAATCATTATCATACTGTTCTTAAATTTGTAAGTTGCGTTAGCGTAGTATTGACTGCGCTACTGCTCTACAATATTTCAAAATATTGGCACTGCCAATATTTTTATGATCTCGACTGTGCACCTACCTCTCCGTTCGTAGATGATAGTTCTTAAGAATATCGGTCTGATCCAGGGATGTTATGGATATCCGTAACCGTAACCAAAACTTTCGGATATCCGAAATAAAAAAATATCCGAAACCGTACCTAACCGATTCAAAAATTTCGGATAGTTTCAATTGTTTGTTTTGTATAGCATTATATGTGAAGGCATAACAGATTGATTTACCTTAATAATGCCATCTAGTATAAATTTTTATTTTTTTATTACTTTTTATTGGATGTAAAGTGTGCGGCCATGAATAAACCGTGTTGGACAATTATTGCAAATTGCATTTTAAAGCACAGATATCTGTAACCGTAACCGACGAAACTTTCGGATATCCGAAATAAAGAAATATCCGTAACCGTAACCAAAACCGGTATAATATTATTCCTATATCCCTAACCGTATCCATAACCGAAACTACATAATATCCTTAACATCCCTAGTCTGATCAAATTGTAAGACAGTAAAGTCAGATTTATATTTGTCTGACGTATTCTGTTGTGACCATTATACGACACGACACAACACAAGCGTATAACCGATTCCGCTCAGATGCGTCACGATCAACACAGCACGTACCTACAGCACGGTAATATATGATAGTATTACCGTGTCTAAAGCTTTAGTCAGACTTATTTCACTCGGAGATTTTGCTCCAATAAGAGTTTGTTTAGGATTGTAAGCTTGAATCAACCTAATAATGGTCAGTAGTTAGAGGCCTCATTGATCCTTCTGATTAAACAAGTTAGACGCCTATCAGTAACACCATAGTTGGTTGTACTTAGAAATATTTCTGCCAAAGTTCACAGAAGAGGTTCAGTTAAGGCTAAAGCTCATAGCAGATAGACTAAGGCCCGGTTTTTTGATTCATAGTTAAAATAACCAATGGTCAAATTTGACAGATGTCAAATGACAAGTGGTTAAATAACAGAAAAAAATGTTTTTCGAACAATGGTTAACTTGAGTTTTAGTACATTTTTAAACTATTGGTTAACATTTTGTTAATATTTAACCATTAGTCGCAAAATCTAACAAATAGTTATTTTAACTATGAATCAAAAAACCGGGCCTAAGAGCTAGTGAACGCCAGTTCTACGTCATTTTATAAAAGCTGAAAGTTTGTCAGCGTATGCTCTAAATATAGGTTAGAATGTTGGTGAATCATAAAGTTCCTGTGAAGTGAAGGTAAGGACGTGGGACGTCCACCAACAAGTTGGACCGACAACCTGATAAAGGTAGCAGGAAGGCGCTGGATGCAGGCCGCCACCAACCGTGCGATGTGGAAGTCATTGGGGGAGGCCTATGTTCAGCAGTGGACGTCCTATGGCTGAAATGATGATGATGATGATGATGAAAGGTGATGACAGCTTGCGAAAGGCGATACGGTGTTGATTCCTTTCCGAGTTGATAAGTCTGCTATGAGCTTTATGTCCTACCGTCTTTAAAGAATTCATGTGTCCTTAAAGAATAAGAAGTTAGTATTGAACTCACCATCGCAATAAGGTTGGTGTGTTCAGGTTCGGTGTCGGTGTGGGTAATGATCCTCCTGAGGATCAGGCTGTACTTGGTGAGGCGCTGCATGGGCTTAATGATGATGTCAGAGAGCTGCAGCCTGTTGAAAAAGTGACATTTAAATGACGCACACACCTACCGTCAAGATTTGATTTGATCTTCCGATGTGTAGCTGAAGGCAGAAGACAGAAGACAGACGGTAGCTGTCCTACTTATACATATAAGTTAATTAAAAAGTTCTCACACCTACGTAAAACGGAACAGCAACAGCACATCAGACTATGTATTTTAGCTGTAAATTGCCGATTGATCGCTATACTAGGGCACTATTTAAGTTGTGAGCCTCGACAACATAACGTGTTGTTAGACGACATCTGATACTTTTAATGAAAAGTTTGACAATTTTGACTACAACCTTATTCAAAACTTTTTATCATTTGAGCACGTTTTGTATTATTAACATTGAATTGAAAATTATCTTGACTACAAAAACATGGAATTGACTTGCGGAAATTTTCGCGCGAAGATTTATTATGACTTTCGACGTGGTTAATCAATACAAAACTGAAGCGGTCAGCTAAATTTCACTTTTGGTGATAAAGATCTATCCTTTACCATTGTAAAACGCTAGTTTAAGAAGTATAATATTTTATGTCATTGGCTCACCAGTGAACTTTGCGAAAGTCGTCCAAAATGACTAATTGTGGCGGAAAACATTGATGTTGTCAGAAAAATGGAAGAGAAACCTCGTCATGTGATATATCGTAGGATTGAGATAAACCTAGGCATTAATTCCACTAGCAGTAATAAAATATTGTATGACCATATTATGGTTAATACGTTTTTTTCTCGCTGGATGTCACAAAATTTTTCAAACGCTCAATAGGACACTTGTGTCGTTTAGTCCTTGGAATAGTTTGATAAATACGTTTAAAAAGCTTTAAAAGCCGTTTTTAAAATTGTGACAGTTGACGAATTAAGGATCTATGCATAATAATCCTGAAAATAAACAGCTATCGACTATGGAGGTGTTTTAAGATGAACCAATTCCAACAAAAGTCCCATGCGGTCGGAACACTTTGAAACTTACGGTCGCCTATTTTTCCGAAATATCCGATTATGTGACTAAAACGTCACTAGAGAAATTTAGAATGGTTAATTCTTAATAGTAAACAGCCACTTTTTTTCCAATAGTCTTCAGTTTAATAAGGGAAACTGACCAGCATAGTCGAATCGCCATTCGTGACGAAAATGTGAGCTTTTACACGTCTCGTCAAACAACTGACTATTTGAACACTCAAAATATGAAATAAACAGGTCCAACGCTACAAAATTCTTGCTTGGAATCTAAACACTTCTTTTGGTACCCGTATATTAAAATTAAATGCGTGAACAGCGATTTATGTAGCCAGAAGCAACTGTCGGTGCGGTCAAAAACCATGCTTTGGAGGTGCCTCAAGCTGAGTGGAAAAAATGCTATGAAAAGTATTTCGAACACATTAAAAAGTACATAAATCATGAAAGACAATACCAATAAACGCAATCAATACAATTTTAATAATAAACTACTTTGTTTTCATAGTTAGGCTCACAACTTAAATAGTGTCCCACGTAGTAGGCTAGCAGGGCACAAAAGATAAGGAGACATGTAAAGTGCCCCTTAAGGGCTACTTTTTTTACTATATTTGACGTTCATTCATAAGTGCCACCAGTGCTACAGTGGTCAAAATTTAATAAAATATTTTTGATTTGATTTGAACTTAATACGTTACTACTATAGTCTGCCTGATGTGCCAGGCATATGACTGAGCTGAACACCTTCAGTGTAGACGTACTCTAGTTCTGCTTCAGATTATGCACGTCCAGAAGTCGTAATACCTAGTTGTTTGTATGTTTAAAGGTTTATTTGGTATATTAACATAGTTTATAACTAGTGGTTACCTATTGCAAGACTTGTGGCCATGACACCAGGTGAGGTAGGTCATGAAATCAGCATTAGTTGATAGGGAGCGGAGATAATCCAGCGCTTTAGTTTGCTCGATGACGAACTTCTCGTACGGTTGGAACAGGTCGCGGAAACGGCAAAATCCAGCCGACATCAGTTCGGTGTTGAAACTGCAACAAAATTTTAACTGTAATTCGCTTTACACAAAATAAATTTGTGCGATAACGAAATAATCGCTCCGGTCTGGTAGCTCGAGCTAAATTAATATGGTGGTACAAATTGCCTAACAGAATCAGGTTAAATATATGAATATTTTACCTGCTATCAAGCCATGTGTAAAAAATTCACTCCAATTAATTTTGCCAATGTAGTAATTTGTGCAGTCTCAATAACTGAGTGCTTTACATATTTTGAAAAAGGTAGTATTAATTATTTTTATTCTCATGTCCTAATTAATCGATTAAATTAAAGACTAGAAACAGGAGTAGGTAATCAATTCTGTGGCATTCAAACATGCAATAATCTTGTGAATAGGTAGGTATTAGAGAGAAATCATTATTCCCGCGTTCAAATATCTTTGTGCATTTTGCATTCGAAAATCTGGTAACGTTCAAGACTATAAGTATGTTAGATCTTCGAAAGTGCCATTGAAAGTTCTGACACTTGTATCTATCTATATAAAAGTGAAAGGTGAAGACACTGACTGACTCACTCATCACGAAATCTTAGAAACTACATATGCTAGGAGTCTCTTTTGCGTGGGTTCCATTTAGAACGTAGGTGCTCACTAAGAGATTTTACGAAACTCCACCCATAAGGGGGTAAAATGGGATCCACGCGTACGAAGTCGCGAGCGGCCGCTAATTTACATACTCGTCTTATAAGTGCTAGATTTTCATTGGTGCAGAGTACCTATGAGAGTAGCCTCTAGCTAGGCATTTGTTTCATTATAAAATCACAAAATCGTTGATCCTAAAAGATTCTTAAGCCGCTCACGGCTATCAGCATTGTCAGTCCGAAAAAAAAACCTAAAAGATTCTAAAAAGGAAAGCCTCGTAAATGGTGGTACCGTTATTTTAACGATTATCGTTCCGTTGAACTTCCATTTATTGCAAATAAGTATAAGGAATTATTTTATTACTCCCGTAAGAACATAATTTATTTTAAGAACAAAGTGGAATCTTCAATGTAAATCATTTTTGCACATAAAATAAATGTTAAGTCCGATATATTTGATTAAAATGGTATAAAGTTGGACACAGATAAGTAACACTTTGCTTTTTAGGGTTCCGTATTTTATGGACGTCGATGGGAACGTTTGACGTTGAGGCTGTACGCCGAGACCATAGCCTTATAGGATACTTACGGCGTCTTGTTCTCGAAGGATTCCAACAGCATGGGATAGATGGTGTACTCCCAGAAGTAGAGGCTGGCGTTCAGCACGTCAGGGATGTTGGAGAACAGCTTCTCAGTGTCCACGTCGAGGAGTTTGCCGCTGTCCTGCAGCGCGTGCGCCGCAGCGATAAACACCTGTGCGAAATAAATTGTTAGTGCGTTGAATTAAACGCTTATGCCCCCCCCCCCAATAATCGATAATCATCTATCTATAGTGTATAAACGGGATAGGTTACTGACTGACTCACTCATCACGAAATCTCAGAAACTATAAATGCTAAGAATCTCAAATTTTGCATAGGGGTTCCTTTTAGAACGTAGGTGCTCACTAAGAACGGATTTTACGAAACTCACGCGTACGGTCACGGTCAGCTAGTTTACGATAGTTAGTATCGATACTGTCTGGACAATTTCTTTTTCTGGCTCATTTTCGTTTTTTAGCAGTAATCGATAGATATTATCGATAATATCGATACTTACTGCTGGACAAACCTACCTGGCTGAAAAGCTGTCTCATTTTCGTAACTTAACTACTATGAAATTCGATTTACATTTGATTTGAAACCAATAATAAAATTACGAGACTGGGTCACAAAATATTTTGAAAGGTACATAAATGTACAACTGGATTAGATAAGAAGTATTTTCGGTAAACATTTAATACTTAAATATTAGAAGACAGCACTTTATTTCAATCGAACCGTGTTGACCTCAGGTTTCCACGAGCTGAGTGTACCTAAAGCGGCTTTCACACTACACGCGACCTCGATGCACTGACTCATCTGCCTAACTAATTGCAATCGTATCCGAGAGAGTAGCGCAAGAGAAAAAGAGTTTCGATACAGTAGATCTAACAGTAGACCTAAGATCGTTTCATCCACGAAGACGCGCCCCACCAATTTTTGGTCGAGGGAAGCGCGGGGGTGCGGGGAGTTTGATCCGAGCATTCCGAGCGTCATTATTGTAGTGTGCACTCATGGATAATTTAGCGTGTACCGACCAAACATTAGCGGAAGAATGGTGAGGCGCGTCTTCGTGGATGAAACGATCTATACGCGCTTTCCTAAAATTCTTATGCCGGGAGGCATTTAGAGTCATGGTTGGAAGCTTGGAAGGAAGATTGTAAACTGTTCATAATAACAGCACTGCATATCAAATCTATGGCATCATTTGTAGACGCTTGCCTATGTTTCCAGGTCTCCAGTCTTAACGGGACTATTCCCACCTCTCGTTCCCACCACTGCAACTCCTGTGTAGCCAGGATCTACAGCTTGACCGCCACAAAAACCCAACCAATGAAGGTCAAGTTTGTCCAGGGGGAAAGTTAAACTGTCATTGGACCCGCAACGAAATTAATCAGAAGAACATAGGAGGAGTTCGAAGGTCTCCAGTCTTCTAACATTTAACAAAATTGCATATAAAATTGTTGTTTTGTATAGGACAAAACACGCGCTGGAGACTCGGCTTAAGATACCAATAAACCAAAGTACCTGATACCTGATACAAATAATCATTTACTGTGTAATTAATACCAGACATGAAAAAGTTTATAAACGCAGCTCCTCGCTCTGGAGTGAGTCGTGTCGTGTGGCAGTGTGATACCAGCCTAAACACCATGACGGCATGAATTATCCAACTTTTTAAACAGTTACGGCTAGTCGTTAAACGATTTCCAAAAATAAACCTAATATAACCGACACACTACAACACCGCAATCAACTTTACTTGGATTCGTTTAAGTGTTGACCCAGATTAGGTATACAGATCATGGGGTGCGATGGTGAGGGACCTCCACGTGGTGCACCCCGGGCAACGTCCGCGTGGTCTTTTCACGCGGGCGGCTGACTTCTCACCTGCGCGGCAGGTTGCGTCAATTCGGCGGGCCTGTCGGGCGACCCGTAACCCACAACGGAGTGGGCCGGGGGCTGTCGGGGCATTTGCCCGGGCCGCGATGCAGGGGACATCTCAGAAAACCCCCCCAATCCCAAGGTCTACAGGGGCCGAGGGGACGCGTGGTCGTAGGGTGTACGGCCGCTACCCTGCTTGAGAGAGGGTATGGGCAGCTGCGCCCGGAAGCAGTAAACTATGACATGGACACAAGGAAAACTAAACTACCCCAGGGAGGTACCGGCAAAGCCGGAGAATCCTCTGCCGCTACGGCGGTCACGGCCCACGTATCTGGGGGGGCCGCACCGTGTTCTGTGTCTTCGCCGGCGAATGCGCCGAAATCTTGCAAGGTTGAATTGACCAGCTTTGACCGAGGGCTTCGGAATATGTTCGGAGCTAAACCTAAAATCGACCAGATCGCTAAAAAGACAGTTGAGACTGCCGTGGATACAACCCGCGGTGTGACTCCTGTCCCAGAAAGTAACCCAGACTTGACGACAGCAAAGGTGGTGGTTGAGACTCCCCCGGTTCTACCCGGGGATCTGACTCCCACTACCCGCAGCCGCTCCCGGATCAATAGTGAGGACTCCGTCACTCGGGCTGCCACCAAGCGGCGGATCGAGGAATCGGAAGAGTCACAGTACTCGGATTTAGAAACCGATAATTCTGAAAGGGTTGATCGCTTCATTGAAAGATGCTTAGCAGCCGACACGGATGACTCTTGCATGTCGACTGAATCGGCTCCGTCAACAAAACACACAGCATCGTCACGTGGCGGCAAAAAACCCCGGGGCCGTGGTAGAGCTCAAACAAGCGGGGAATATATCGGCTTGAGACAGAAGTGGGCTGAAGAGAGGTTGCTTGCCAAGGAGCAACTTGAAGACTCCGAAGAATCAGCCATACGACTGACTAACAAAATGAAGACGGCGCGACTTCGCGCTCAGGATAAATCGTGCATACTTACTGCAGCAGAGCTTATGGAGACTATCCGCACAAGTGCTCAGGCGGTTTTCAAGTGCGCGGGAAAGTGCAGTAAGATCAGAGGCACTGAGCAGGGGGCCTTTAAGGAAGCCGCTTTGACTATCGAGGCAGCAATCACGGCACTGGCTGATCGGCCTCCTGATGAAGAAATTCACAGACTAAACGTTGCCAACTCCCTCCTTAAAAAGGAATTGGAGGAACTTCGTCAGGAGGTTCGCAACCTCAAAGAGGAAAGGAGCAAGGTCACCCCAGCCATCATCACTGCTCCTCCCCCCGTATGTTCTACACAGGCGGGTGATATGGAGAGGGAAATAATGATTCGCGTAGGAACTATGGTTGACGCCAAACTGCAAGGCATAGAGGAAAGACTCCTCCCAGAAAAGCGCCTTCGCCCATCTTTGGCAGCAGACAAAGCGAAAGTACTGGCCCCAGCCGAGGACTCAACCGCTCTCACCACGAAAAAACAAACCGGCCCAACCACACGGGCGTCGGCTAAAAGGGTTGCCCCAGCACCCTCCGTAAAGAGTGCACCTGCAAAAGCTGCAACAACCGCAGCCCCTCAGGCGCACACCAGTCAGAAGGAATCCTTGGTTGCCGAGCCTCTCGTAGCGACCGTGGAACTAGCGTCGCCTCCTAAAAGAGGCCGCGTTAGAAAGAAAGGTAAGGGCAAATCTCAACCTACCCCCATGCCTACCCGTCCAGAACCTCGCCCGCTTCCTCCACCCCCCGTGTCCATGGATGCTGAGTGGACGGAGGTTGTAAAGCGTGGTAAGGGTAAGAAGCAAGGAGGCCAAGCCACACTAACCAGCGCCAAACCGCCTAGCCAACAGAAGGCTGGGCCGGGCAGAGAGAAGGGCAAAGCCCGCAGGGTTCGTGTCCCGAGAACGGCCGCAATCTCGGTCGTGTTTACGCCGGAGGCCGCTCGTCAGGATCCACCTCGTGACTTCCAATGGTTTATGCACATTGCAAAGCAGCAGGTGGATCTCGCCCAACTGGGCATAATGGACGGCCTCCGCTTTAAGCCAGGTCAAACGGCAGCGAAGCTCCTCGTCCTTTCTGGTCCAGACGCGGAGGAGAAGGCGGATAGGCTGGCTGCTGCCCTCCGTGATGTCCCCGCTTTCACAGCGGAAATGGTCGCTATAAGGCGACCGATAAAGAGTGAAGACATCCGACTGTCCGGTTTGGATGAATCTATCGAACAGTCGGAACTCGCTACGGCTATTTCCATCAAAACTGGGTGCCCACTAGAACAGATTAAAGTGGGTAAAATAAGCGGAACCCGGGACACCCGCAGTGTCATCGCGCGGGTGCCGTCGAAAACGGCGAAACAGCTGGCAAGTCTACGTCGGCTACTTGTAGGATGGGCCTCGGTGCAAATTACGTTGCTAAAACCGAGACCTTTGAGGTGTGTGTCTTGTTGGGGCGATGGGCATGTTGCTCACAAATGCGCTGCCAACGTCAGCGACCGCAGTGCACTCTGCTTCCGATGCGGTCAGCCTGGGCACCAGAGGAAGGAGTGTCCCGCCAATGAACCCCGCTGTCTACTTTGCTCAGCGGTAGGAAAGGCAGCGGACCACACGCTGGGGACAAAAGATTGCCCTCAGCCGCAGCAGAAGTCGAAACCGGTGCTTTCTGGGCCCGGCCGAACGGCTAGCCTCATGGAGGTGGACGCGGGGGCGTCCGCTTCCTAACACTGAGGCCCGAAGTGCGCGCGGAGTCCCCGCGTGCTTTGGAGAGATGACCCCTTGAAGGGGTCTGTAGAGCGAGGCTGCGGCCGATGCGTGGGGGCAAGCATGCGAACGATTCACCGACTCGTACGCTGCCCCACTAAGCGCGACCAGAGGGACCCGACTGGTTTTTAGTGGGTAGGCCTTGCCCTTCAGGCGAGGAGAGCCCCACATAACTCATCGGCTCCCCCGGGCTGGTGAGTATGCAGTTTCATGCATTTTCCAGTCGAAAAAAAAAAAAAAAAAAAGGTATACAGATCATACTATACTAATATAGTAAGTAGGTGTACCTACCTGTATTTACGATTCTTGGGAGCCATTCAGGTATTAATTAATAAAACAATGTTGACGATCTTTGTGATTCACGCTACTTTGCAAGTTGGCGCTAATTGCTTTCTTTGTGTAAGAAGGCCCAGCTCAAAGCAACATACTGTGAGACCATTGTTTTGTAGAAATCATCCTCCATCTCGCTATAAGTAAGTCGTTGTTTTCACATAATTCAATAGGTACCTAATAGAGCCAGTAGGTATTTTCCGCTAC